GTTGCGGGCACATCCCCAGTAGGAGGTGTGCAGGAGGCAGCTGATCAATGATTCTGTCGCATCGATGTTTCTAACTCTATCCCTCTCCCTTCCTCTGTAAAAAAAATCAATAAAATATATTTTTTTAAAAAGAGAGATGAGTCATTACTCCCACTCTACTGAGCTAAAAAATAAAAGCCTAAGAGGAGTCACAGCCTCAGTGAGACCCTGCCCAACGCTGGATCGTTGGACCCCAGAAATGTGTGGTGCCCGGCGGCCCTACTGAGGGGAGGGAAAGAGATATAAAGGATGATTGAGAAATGATAACGGTGGAAGCATGGACTGGACGCTAGGCCCGCCCGCCCTGCAGGTGAGGAGACCCGGGCAGACCACATGGACCGCCTGCCGGAGCCCCAGGAGGGCCTGCACACTGCAGGGGAGGGCTGCGACAGCCACCCCTGGGAGGCTGCTGTGCACACGGGCCACTCATCCGTGTTCAGTGGTGCTCATCAGCCACGCCATAGCCCGGGCGTAACTGGGCCCGTTTTCTGAAGAGTCAGTGACACCCCCCAACCCCCCAAGTGCAGGGACTGTGGCTAATGGTAGGGAGTGGGCTGGACTTGAACACAGACCTGCGGGAGGAGAACCCGGGGCCTGCCCTCCTGTGCCCTCCGCCTGCGGTGGCCCAGGAAAGGGGCACCTCCGCTCTGGCTTCAGACTGGCACCGTGCCCACCCATGTCTTCCCCTCCTCCCCCTCCCTTCCCAGGAAGTCTTGGTCCCAGCCTCCTCCAGGGACCATGCGGGAGGCTCGCCCACCGCAGCTCCCAGCTCATCTGTAGAATGGGAGCCAGTGAAGGCCCAGGCGCCGCGGCCCTGCGACCTGGGCGCTTTGCAAAGGCCTGGTCTGCAGTCCCCACCTCAGGGGGCGGGCGGGGCCGTAAAAAACCCTTTGATCGTCCAGAACTTCGCAAGCGAGGAGTGCATCCCCCACAGAATCTCAGGCAGGGCCCCGCCGCCGCTTTACCCCCTCCAGCTCCCTCGCTCAGGAGGTGATCTTTCCTGTCCCAGGTCCGCTCTGGTCTCCGCACCCAGGTGAGGGCCGGTGAGCGACGGGAGCCCAGAGAGGGGCGGCCCTCCGCCCGAGGTCACACAGCGGAGGGACGGGCTTGCGGGCGGGGGCCGCTGCGCCGCGGAATTCCAGGCGGACGCCGGCGCCCGCTAGTCTGCCCGCTCCTGATACCCGGGTTCGAGAGGACAGGCCGCAAACGAACGAGCGGCCCCTGAGGAGGGACCGTCCCTCCTCCGGGACCCGGGCTGTCCCATTAGGGCGAGTTGTCATCCCTCCCGGAGCGAGGTAGTGCCGGCTCCGCGCAGGCGGAGCGCCGGGCCGAGAGCAATTACCGCGGCTCCGGAGCGGCAGCGCCTGTGCCCGGGGCGGCCGGGCGGGCGGGGCGGGGCGGGGCGCCCGGCGCGGCTGGAGCCGGTCACCCGGCGCAGCCCCTTCCCCGCGCCCGCCTTTCATCTCCCCGCGCCTGGCGCCGGCCCGCGGCCCTGGCCCGTCTCCGCCCCTCCCTCCGGCCCCCTCCCCCGCCTCCGCCCCTCCGCCCGGCCCGCGTCCTCCCGGTCTGCAGGAGGGTTCCCCGGGGTCTGCAGGAGGGTTCCCGGGGTCTTCAGGAGGGTTCCCCGGGGTCTTCAGGAGGGTTCCCCGGGGTCTGCAGGAGGGTTCCCGGGGTCTGCAGGAGGGTTCCCCGGGGTCTTCAGGAGGGTTCCCCGGGTCTGCAGGAGGGTTCCCCGGGGTCTGCAGGAGGGTTCCCCGGGTCTGCAGGAGGGTTCCCCGGGGTCTTCAGGAGGGTTCCCCGGGTCTGCAGGAGGGTTCCCCCGGGACTGGCGGCGCGCCTGCCGCGGCTCCACGCGGGGCCCCCGCGGGTGCCCACCGCCCCGGGGAGCGGACAGGGGAGGCCGCGGGGGTGCGCGCAGGGCCTGGGCCGCGCCTGCCATCCCTGGGCCCCCACTTCTTACCTGGGTGACCCGGGGTGCATACTCAGTGCATCGGACGGAGACTAGAATCCGGCGTTAGAACCGAGGAGACGGGGGGGGGGCGGGGGGGGGGGCGGCGGGTTATGGACACGCACCGGTCCAGGCACCGAGGCATCCAGTAGCGCCCGGGCTTGGTGTCACCGCGTTCCCACTGGAAGCCCCTTTCCTGCCCACGAGGATGTCCCCTTAGTGCCGAAGCCAGAAGCCAGGCCCCGCTCAGGGCTGCACCCACTCCGCGAGGGACTCAGGCCCCCGCCGCCCCAGTCCTCCGCCGCCGGGAGGGCTTACAGAGCAGCCGCAGGGACCTGCCGCGGGCGGGCGGCGCGCCTGGCTTAGGAGAGCGGGCCCAGAGGACGCAGTGGATAGATTATTACTGCTTTTGATTACAATGTTTCCTATCGTTTTCTCCGCATCTTTATGCAGCCTATTGAATGGAATCACCTTAAGAGCCCTCTCTGGTGCGGGTTCTCTGACTTTAGGGGCCAAGAAGCAGGCTGGGGGGGAGGGCTGGCGTGCAAAGTGAGGTCCCCAAGCTCCGGGCCAGGAATGCAGGACAGGGCTCTCCTGAAAGGGTTCCCGCTGTGCTGAGGTCCCACCCTTTTCCCAGCAGAAGTGAGTCCCCCTCCGGACCGTCCCCATCCCAGCAGGGCGCAGGGAGGGAGCTGCCCGGAGAGGAGAGGAGTGGGGCAGGCTGGTGCCCCTGGGCATCACTCCTGTTCACGGGGCAGAGCTTGGCAGGAGGAGTTTGCATGTTTGCTTGCTTGCTTGTTTTTGTTTTTTTCATCTCTACCCCATCTTCCTGTGTCTGGCCTCTTGGGTTACTTTTCCTGTCTGGACACCTTGCCTCCCCCCCTTTCCCTGAAAAGTTCACCCATTCAAATAAAAGGGCCCCAGCAGCTCAGCCTTTTATTTTCATTTCCCAGAAGAGAGCTCTGGGGGACGGACAAACATGAGCAAGGAGTTTGCAGAGCCATAAAGCGGTGGCCCGGCACAGCCCAACGGGCAGCCGAGCCTTTGGTTCACGGTGGCACCCGGGGCTCAACGAATCCCAGGTTCGCTTCCAAGCCCCGCAGCCTGTGCCGGCCGGGCACCTGTCTAGGAGGCACAGGTCACCATCTGGCTTTACCTGTCCGGTGTCTCAGATGCCTATCAGGCCCGCTGTCCTCCGAGGTGACTCAGGGGAGAGCGAACACACAGGTCTCCGGATAGCTCTCACAGTTGTTGTTCAGCTTTCTCTGGTTTTTCACTTTGTTGGAGGAAAAAAAGAGAACAGAATGTGCTTGTTCCTGGTGGAGGGAGAGGGACTGGGGGGTGGTGTTGGAGGGGGTGAGAAGGCCCTGCTTAGGGCTTCTTTACTCTTTTAACTTCCCGGGACAGTTTATAATCGCACTGAATTAGCCGGCCAAGCAGGCTGTTTTTATCCTCGGGAGATTCAGATAATGCCTGTTTGCCTACCCTGACCCAGCAGTTTCACTCCAGGCAGAGAGGTTGGGAGGGAGGAGGAGGAGGAGGAGGAGGAGGAGGAGGAGGAGGAGGAGGAAGCAGGGCATCAGAGAGGTGCTCTGGCAGTGGGTCTGGGGGTCAAGTGTCTAAGACCTGAAGTGCTAGGAGCCTCCAAGCCTTGGCCATGTCAGTACCTTCCTTACGAGGCTGTGGTTTAGCAAGCGCGTGCTGTGTGCAGGGCCCTGGGCTGGGGGGCTTCTGTTTACCTGCTCACGTGCAGGAAAAATTGTTCCTATCCAGGGGCCAGCAGCTGCCGGCCCGGAGTCACTGGAATCTCGGCCCAGCGGCCTGCAGACACCCCAGGCCTGCTCTCCCCTTCCCTGGGCGGAGAAGCAGAGGCAGTCGTCAATAAGGTTTAAGATGAATTATCCAGGTACAATTGGGAGTCGGGTGAGATCTCTCTCTCTCTCTCTCTCTCTCTCTCTCTCTCTCTCTCTCTCTCTCCTTCCTTTTAAAACCAGGTGTAATGTGTGAAAATGTGCTTCCCCAAAAGGTCCCGAGGCCTGGGGTGTGCAAACTCGGAACCCTGTACTTCTGAGACCTGAGAGAGAGAGAGAGAGAGAGAGAGAGAGAGAGAGAGAGAGAGAGAGAGAGAGGAAGGCATTCGATACTATCGTGCCTGTTCTTCCCGTGTCTTCCTCCAAGGCAAACACTGGCACCAAACGCACAGGACAAACATGGGCCCAGACAAACGCAGGGACACAGAAAGCAAGCGCCCGAGCTGGAGGGAAAGGCTGGGCAGGAGCCACCAGAAAGGAAGTTCAGGGGAAAGGAACCGGCCACTGCCAAGAGGGCGCTGGTTACCCTTCGCGGGGAAGACGGGACCGCTGGCTTCGTTTGTCCAGTCGGGACTGTTTGGGACAGGGCAGCCCCTGACCCCTCTCCCTCTGGGTCTCTCTCGGTGGCTTCTCCTCTGCCAGGGGGCTTAGCGGGCGCCCGTGGGCACTCCTTAAGAGCCAAATACCCTTCCAAGCGCCCTGCACTGCCACTCCCTCTCCTAGGGAGGCCGGCCCGACTTCAGCGCCGACCCCTAACGTGGCAAAGGCGGCCCAGCGTTGGTGCATACTTAGTGGGCTCTTCCTTCCACGTCTTTGCACCATCAGCTGCAGACTCTGAACGCGATCCCGCGGTGCGGGGAGGGGTGTGACACAGACCCGGGGTGCCTTTTCCAAAGAGGGGGTAAAAAGGAGAGAAAGAAATGGGACTCGGGGAGAACTTCCTCTTTCAATAATCGGCCTTAATGACGCCCTGGACTTTTTTAAGTTCTGGCGTGATTATAACCCTTGAGGGATCGCCTAATAACCACTCTGCCGACTGCTCCTGTAATTAACTCCTAATTTATTTCAAACAGGGGGCGGGGGGGGGAGGGCTGAAAGGACCGGCCTCTGCCGCGGGAGCCAATGGGAGGCGAGCGTGCGTGACGTCAGCGCCAGGGCGGGCGCGGATTGGCGGGCGCGGGTCTCCCACTTCCCCTCGGAGCGCAGGCCCGGCGCCCGGCGCGCCCTCCCGTCTCCCCTCAGAAAGTTGGAGCCGCCGCCGCCGGGCCGCCAGCCGGAGTCGCGCGCCGGGACCTCCGCGGGGGCACAGGCGTCATGGCTTCTCCGTCCCGAGGCAAGGACCTGTTCCCGTCGGAGGAGGAGGGCCCGGGGCCCGGGGGCGCCGAGGGGCCGGCGGAGGAGCGCCGCGTCCGGGTCTCCAGCCTGCCCTTCAGCGTGGAGGCGCTCATGTCGGACAAGAAGCCGCCCAAGGAGGCGTCCCCGCGGCCCGGGGAGAGCGCCGCCGCCGCCGCGGCCACCCTGCGGCCGCCGCCGCCGCCGCCGCTGCCCGGACCCGGCGCCCGCGAGGCGCGCAGCCCCGGCGCGCGGGCCCAGCCCTTCGAGGCCGCGGCGGTCAAGTCGGAGACCTCGGAGGACGGGGCGGCGTGGATGCCCGAGCCCGGCCGATACTCGCCGCCGCCCAGTGAGTGCGCGCCCGGGCGGGCGGGACGCCGGGGGCCGGGGGGAGCCAGCCGGGGGCGGCTGTCCAGGCCGGGGGCTCGGAGGTCCCCTGCCCCGTGCGCCCCGGGGAGCAGGCGCAGCCGGCGTGGGCCCCCGTCCCCCGGGGAGCAGGCGCAGCCGGCGTGGGCCCCCGTCCCCCGGGGAGCAGGCGCAGCCGGCTGCATCCCATCCCGGACGCGCCGTGGGCGCAGCGCGTGGCCCGGGTCCCCGCGCGGAGCGGACTCGCCGGTCCGTGCAGGGCGCGCCCCCGCCGGGTGTGCGGGTCGGTCACTTCGCTTATTTTTTTCTTGTCTCGGTGCCCACCAGGGTCTGAGGAGGGAAGGGGGTGTGAGTTCGCAGCCCCGCGAGGTGTGCCCTCGTTGTGACGGTGAGCTGGCCGAAGCTAGCCCGATGTTGGATGGAAATCCTCATCTCCCCTGGGTCCCGCGACGGGAAGGCGGCGGAGGCTGATGCCCGCACCTCGCCCCCAAGTCCCCCTCTTCGCTGGGAGCGGGCCGGGCCGCAGCGCGGGTGCCCGCTGGGCTCAGCGGTAATTACAGGTTTTCCTGGGCGCCGGGCTCAGCAGACCCCAGTCATCCTGGAGCCTCCAGGTGCAGGCAGAGGCGGCGGGGACCTGGGGTTAGACACCCCCCCCCCACCCCCACCCCTCCTCAGACACCCAGACTGGGTTTTAAGAAGACTAACTTGTCTGGCAGTGGCCGAATTGGGCCGGGGCCCTGGTGGCCCAGCCAGGCTGCTCTGGGGCGCCCTGGCCCCCAGACCTTGGATCCTTCTCCCCAGGGGGACCCAGCAGAGGTCCTCACACCTGCACCCCGCTTCCTGCAACGAGGCGGGCGGGCTGGTGGTTGGGGTGTCGGCGCAGGGGAGGGGTGGCTCCTTCAGCTTCAGCATCCACGTTGGGGCCCTAGGGCCTCCTGCAGGTTGGAAGTCACCCTCACAACTTTCAAGTCTCTCCCGGGGCCCTGAAGAGTCCTCCGCCCGCCGCTCCTCTCCGGGAAGGTGGGCAAGAGGGGGCTTGTGGAGGGACGTTTTATGCAAAGTCATCAGAGGATGCCTCTCCTCTCCCACCCGCCAGCCTCCAGGCTGGAGACACACCGTATTTTGTGAAGGAAACCAGGCCGGCTCCCCGGCTTCGGAGGCTGTCCCCTCTGGCGCCTCTCTCTGCCCCCGGAGAAACTCCCAAAGATTCCGAGGGCGTGGGGATTAAGGACTCAAAGAATTTAAATACAAGTTTGCCCCTTGCTTTATGGCACTTTATCCGTGTTATCTTATCTGATCGGTGTGGCTTCTGGGAGCAGAGGAGGATTCTCAGCCGAGTCCGGCGGCTTCCGCACTCCCGGAATGACAGGGCTGTGCCGGGCCCGCTAACCCGTCCTCTGAGCCTCCCCGCCGGCCCCTGCTGCTCACCCATTCTCCTGACGGGGAGATAGAGGCTCAGACGCTCTAAGGGACTTAGTAGGCCCGCGGCACACGGAGTTTCGGGCCTTCCAGGGAGACAGAGGTCAGAAGGCCCACTTCCTCAGGCCTCCAGGTTCCGGGACGCCGGTCCCCGCCGGACTCTGCAAACAGCCCCGCCACCGAGCGCAGCCCCGCGCCCCTGCTGAGTAAGGCCGCCTTGGGCCCTGGAGCCGCTGACCTTCCCAGCAGAAAAGCCGGAGGTTCCGAGAAAGGACTTCATTTTAACACACAAAAAGCGGGTTATTGGTGCTCGGGGCCTGCGAGGCCGGGGAGTGCGGGGGTGGGGGCCTGGGCCCGGAGCTCCCGGCGGGCGCCTGGGGCGGCCGCCGGGCCTGGTTTTGTTATTCAGAGGAAGTAGGATAAATGCTGTTTTGCTTTGTATAATCGCATCCTTCCTCCGCCTGGTTTAAAATGGGGGGTTGGGGGGGGGGGTGCGGAGTGGTGGGCCCGAGAGGAAGCCTCCCAACTTCTCAGCTTTGATGCACGTGTGCGATCCCGTCTCCTGATTTATAATTCACACGCAGTCCCCGGAGGGCCCTGGAGCTGCTCCCGGCGTAGCGCGGGCTCCCGTATAGACGCCGGAGCTGGGACCGGAGCCCACCGCCGGGTCCTCCTGAGCCCGGCCGTCCCCAGGCTGAGGGCGTCCCGGGCCTGGAGGCATGGATGGTGTGGCTGTTTATTTGTAAATTAAGGAGCCGGTACCCCGGTTTACTCAGGCATCAGCATATGCAGAAGGTACGCTTCTGCCGCCCTCCTCGCCCACCCTCCCAGAATGCCCGCTTTCTGGTTGATGGCCGAGCCCACTGCCTCTTTCCTTCCAGCCCCTTAGCGCGGTGCTGGTTAGTCACAGCACCCGGGGCAGGCCGGCCGGGACTTGTGCTGTGTCACCCTCCCGTCTGAAGTGTAAACTCTTTGGGCCACCAAAGTCACAAAACGAGAAATGTGACATTCTCCCCTCGAGTCCTCTGGAGTGACTAGAACCGCGGCTCCACTCGGAAAATTAGCCTAGCTCGTAAAAGCCGGAGGCAGCGAGCTAATTGTTTAGCAGCCTGCCCCCGGCGCCGCCCGCCTCCCCCCCCCTCCCCCCGGGGAAAGAAGCCCTGGGCGCACGTACGCCCGGGGCCTGCCAGGCGCCCGGTCCCGTGGCTTTTGTCCCCGAGGCCGGTGAGACACGGAGTCGGATGCCGCTGGCCTGCCTTTATGTGGCTCGCGATCGCCTTGCTCTGAATCCAGGCAACCCGGGGAGCACTGACTCAGAGCGATGGGCCGGGGTGACGGAACGTCAGCACACGCTCTCCGCTCAGAGGCGGCGAGATCCCCCCTGACATTGACGTTTACGGGCGAGCTAATTTCTCCCTCCTTCTGGGTGAAGTTTATATTCCAGAAGCACCCGGCCAAGCAGCTTAGCCCCATCTGTGCAGTGATGTTCACGTTTTATCATCTGCAGCCGGGATGGGATGACAGCTGCGGCGGTTTACTGCCGGGAGCTGCTCCCCCCTCCTCCTCGCAAGATGCGAGCAATTCGCCACAGCCCGGGCTGCAGGGTTACCCTCCGCCAGCGTGCGGAGGCGGCAGTGCGTCCTGTCAGTCCAATGCCTCCTGGTGCCCTTATAAGACCCCTTTCATTTCCCCTCTCCGATGGGCTAGGTCAGCATCGGTGGGAAGTGAGGATTATTCCAAATCCATCCTCCCGTATTATCGATTTTTGGTTTTCGAGCAAGAGAAGAAGAGGGAGGGAGGGAGGGAGAAGCATGGATGTGTTGTTCCACTTGTTTACGCATTCATTAGCCGATTCCTGTAGAGGAATTTAACCCAGTTTAATCCTGACCAGGGACTGAACCCAAACCTTGGCTCTTCAGGAAGATGCTCTCACCCCCGTGTTCTGGCAAACTGCGGCTCGTGAGCCACATGCGGCTCTTTGGTCCCATTGAGTGTGGCTCTTCCACAAAAGACCATGGCCTGGGCTTTAGAAGTTTAAGTTTAAAAAATGTGGCTCTCAAAAGAAATTTCAATCGTCGTGCTGCTGATATTTGGCTCTGTGGACTAATGAGTTTGCTGACCACTGCTCTAACCAAGTGAGCTACCCACCTTCCTTCCCCCCAACCCCCAATTGAAGGAGGGTAAATTGTGCTCAGAGCGATGGCATGTTGTCTTAGGAACCACCTGACGCCCTGGACTCCGGAGGAGCCTGCTCTTAGGGGTTCTATTTCCATCGCTCGAAGGCTCTTGCTTTCCCATAAAGTTCTGTTACACCATGACATTCCCAGACGCTTTATTAAGGGCCTCAATTTTTTTAAATGAGTTAATTTATCTATTTAAATATGGTCCTCCATCCTACCCCCTCTCCCCCCAAAAAAGAAAGAAACCACCCCACCTGGTTTTGACAGCGGTATCTCTGAAGGATGCCGAGGGGCCCTGGCCGCGCTAACCGCTCTCTCTGCCCCCAGGACACCTGAGCCCCACGGCCTGCACGCTGCGCAAGCACAAGACCAACCGCAAGCCACGCACGCCCTTCACCACGGCGCAGCTGCTGGCGCTGGAGCGCAAGTTCCGCCAGAAGCAGTACCTGTCCATCGCCGAGCGCGCCGAGTTCTCCAGCTCGCTCAGCCTCACAGAGACCCAGGTCAAGATCTGGTTCCAGAACCGGAGGGCCAAGGCCAAGAGACTGCAGGAGGCAGAGCTGGAGAAGCTGAAGATGGCGGCCAAGCCCATGCTGCCCTCGGGCTTCAGCCTCCCCTTCCCCATCAACTCGCCGCTGCAGGCCGCCTCGCTCTACGGCGCCTCCTACCCCTTCCACAGACCTGTGCTGCCCATCCCGCCCGTGGGACTCTACGCCACCCCGGTGGGCTACGGCATGTACCACCTCTCCTAAGGAAGAGGCGCCCGGACTCCGGACCAGGCCTGTGCCACGGGCCCCGCCCTCGCCAGGAAGCAGCGGCGCCAGCACCCAGCTCTGCCAGCCTCACCGAACCGCCCTGAGCAGCCCAGGCTGGCAGGCCGCAGCCCAGCCCGTCCTGGAGGCTGGAGGCCCCCCAACTCCGTGTTCTGGGCGTCCTTTCCCAGACACCCCTCTCCTCTCACCAGGATAGGCCCTGATGGTTTTCTATATAAATATATATAATAAAATGGAACGCGTTTTTATACAGCGGACGTCGAAATCCAAGTTATTTTGAAAGGCAAAATTTATATATATACTTTTTTATATATATATATATATATAGCACCCTAAAAGACTGCTGAAGTTCATTTGTGTAGGGTTTTTTTTTTTTTCTTTCTTATAGGGGGAGACAAATTAAAATTGCTGAAAGTAGTGATTTGGGCTGGATGATCGGCTTTTGCTAAAGGAAAACATATTAGAATTAGACAAATAATGGCTAGGTCATAGATAGGGACTGAGATTCCTCCCAGGGACAGGCACAGGCCACGGTACCTTACTGTCTTCCATGCATTAGACTAATGTATGTGGCCCTGTCTCTCCCCTCCCCCGGCACACTGTTACCCAGTTAAAGTTTTACTTTTTCTTTTTTAGGATCAATAAAAGGGGGCTGAGAAGACTGAGCCAGCCTGGGGGGGCAGGGGGTAAAGTGGGAAATGGAAGTACTTCCTAATTCCTCTCCAGGCTGTTGCTCAACTCCATTTCAGATCACTGTCGGGAGGAATGGACGGTTTCTGTGAAATGCTAATACTCAGTCCTCACACATTGCAAAAGGGATGTGGGGGGAGGGGGGTATAGTTAATTCTCTGCTTAAATTAATGTCTGTAACCGTTACCTATATGCTCCTTATTCCTGGACAATGAGTAGATCCAGAGAGAAAGAAAAGCCATGCTTTGTCTGTGTGTGTACTTGTATGTGCTGAACGTATTAGGGAAATTTATATCCTTTTTTTAACGTGTGGGGGGCAGAGGGCGAAGCCATGTTTGGACTTGCTAAGAACCCGGGTGTCTCAGCCCATTTAGCTCCCGTCCCATCCATCTCCCCCCCATCTCCCATCCCTACTCTCCCCCCACCAGTACACTTCATCCCTTTGAAAGGGTGTCTTGTATAATTTTATATATTTTATTGAAGAGTTATTTCTTATCTCTTTTTCCGAATTAAATTAAACATTTGTTTATTGCAGTCACGTTTGTCCCAATTTAATTATTTCAAGAGGCAATCTCGCTCTGTTCCGTTCTTCCTTGGGCTTTGCTCAAAAAATGCCACCCAAATTGGGGAAGGGGGGGTGCTGCTGATTTTTATTATTTTAATGCGAATCAATCAAGCGTTTTGGCCAGATTCAGCAGGGGAGGGGGGTCGGTCCATTGAAAATAGCAAAACACTTTGAAATACTTCCCCTGCGTTTGGCTCCTCTTGGAAGGGAAGGGGGGGGGGGAGTTTGAAACGCCAGTGAAAGGGGAGCTTGGGCGGAAGCAGCAGGGCTGAGGCTGAGGCTGAGGGGCGGCCAGCATCTGAGCATTGCAGACGGTCAAGTGGAAACCTTGAACTTGAAATTTACCTTCTACCAAAACAACAACAAATGGACGCTGAGGGAAGGACCCTGGCTCCTGGCACATGGGGGTGGTGACTGGGTGCTCTCTCACTGAGGCCCTGCCCCGTGCAGCCTCTTCCCGGAGCAGCCCAGACCAGCCCTCTTCCCCGTGGTTTGCGGGGTTCTGGGGTTCATTCGAGTCCCCTTTGCTTTGTAGCCTCCGCTGGATGCAGGAGGTCAGCCTGGGCGTGAGGCACCCTACTGAACCAGTGGGCGGGGCTGAGGGCACCTTCCAGGCCACTTGGCGACACACAAGTGAGTGAGGAGAGGCTGCTGGTGCCTCCCCCCCCCCAACCCCCCAGGTCTGATGAGAAGCTCCTGGGGCCCTGGACATGGTTGAAGGGGAGGCGGGAGGCTGGCTCTTTGGCCCAGATTTTCTTGCCGATGGCCTGAGCCTCAGGCCTCACAGCCCCGCACAGAGCCCAAACCCAGCTCCCATCCCTGCTCCGGTCCTGGCAGAGCCCTCGGAAGTGCCCAGTCCTTCCCAACTGGGCGGCCTCCCCGGCCCCAACTCCCAGCCCCGGCCCTCTACGCCTTCCCGTTGAAGGACGCGCTTGCCAAAGCCCAAAGCCTTCCGGTGCCGCCATCGCAGCCTCCTTGGGTCCCAGTTAGCCCGCCTCCCAAGCTTCCCTCCCGCTCCGAACCCGCGGCCTCCGGATGGGAGTCCGAAGACCGGGCTGCCCCAGGCGGGGTTCTCCACCCCAGTGCTGCTGGCCTGCGGGGTGGGGGTGACTGCCCATGACAACAGAAGTCCCAAGTCCCAAAGGCAAGCCGCCCCGGGGAGGGGGAGGGAGAGGAACTGCTCAGGCTCAGACTCCTGCACCCTCACCGCTGGAGCACCAAGCTGAGGGCTGAGCCAGGTGTGGGGGACCCCGCCTGGCTCTGGAGGCCTCTGAGCCTCCCAGGGAGCTGGTTCAGCCATCCTGGGGCCCCACTTAGGGAGGCCAGTCCCACCTTCAGAGACCGGGCCAGCAACCTTGGGGCAGAGGCCCCTGACTCCCAGGCCCCCAGCCCGGCAGAGGCTGCCGGAGGCCTGCACTCGGACCCTGCCTCCCCTTCACCGCCTTCAGCCACAGCTTCCCGGAAAGACAGCTCTGCTCTCGGAAAGGGGGGAGAAAGGAGGGAAACCGTGTTCTGAGCGCCTAAGTGGGGAACCAGCTTTCTCTGGTCCGATGCCTTTAGCTACTGCACACCCGTTGGGAGGTGTGACCCGCCGGGTCCCAGGAGTCTCAGCCCGGGAACCCCAGGCGGAGCAGTGGCCCCTGAGCACAGGGCCAGCGTGGGGCGGGCTGCGGGGGGCCAAGGCACCCACATAGGAGCCTCAGACCTGAAGTGGGGCCTGTGCCGCCTTCCCCATCCCACAGCTCTCTCTGCATCCCCTTCCCTCCCCCCCAACTGCCAGGGGTTCCCACTTCCCCCTCCTGGGCCCAGCGCTCAGCCCTGGGAGGGGGTGCGGGCAGGCGGGCAGGTAGGCTCAGGCGTTTACAAGGCAAACCGTCTGCCCAGCGTGCCCACCCGGCGGCTTGAAAAGAGGGCCTCTGAGGGGACCTCGCCAGCCCGAATGCAACTCCCACGGCCATTCTTCGCCATAAAAGCCGCGCATTTGCCACGGGGTGGAGAGGCCATCCCCACCCCCTCCCGCTCCGCTGCTGGGTCTGGAATAAGCATAAGCCCCCTGAATAAAAGAACCCGGGAATCTCTCTCTCTCTCTCTCTCTCTCTCTCTCTCTCTCTCTCTCTCTCTCTCTCTCTCTCTCTCTCTCACACACACACACACACACACACACACACACACACACGCCACCCTCTGAAATCACGGGCCCGGGGAGTGAGGTTGGTGACGCCCGTTTCTCCTTCAACGTTCAGTAAAACAATTTCCCCCATTTGGCGATGCTGCGGGCATCTTGAATGAAGCCGGTCCCAGGGCTGGGAGGAGAATCGGCTGTCAAGTACTGGACCCCTCGCCTCAGAGGCCCCCCTCATCCCCGTCTCCCCCCACCCCTCCCTGCTAGGAACTAAATAAAAAGCAGGAAAATTACTTTCCAAAATAGCCCCGCTTCAAAGCAGACCAGGGCCGGGGCTGCGGGGATCCTGAGCCGGCCCCCCGATAAGGCTCCTAATAATCAAATCCAAACTCCATCCACCTCCTCCGCCTCCCGCCACCCTCCTCCCCCGGACCCTCTGCATTTGTTGATGAAAACACTTTGATGTCCCAAACAATTATTATTATAATTTTAAACAACCTGGTATTTTCCATTACTAACGGCTCGGGCTTTGAAGTTACACCTCATAATTTCCTAAATTAAATAAATCATTTTAAGTTTGCACTGGGAGGCTTTTAATAGCAGAGAAAGGAATATCATTATCTTATTGAGACCCAATTGCAGCGGCTCCAGCCTGGCTGTAGCTGGGGGCAAAGTAGGCTCCCTCCAACAGACACACTTTATTAACCTCCCATAACTCTTGAAAGAACATTTTTATATTTTCTTTGATTTCCCCCCCTCCCTCTCTTGTTTTAAAGCTGTCCCAACCTTTAATTAGTGCCTAATATGAAAAGCATTATTTTTTTAATGCTATGTAATTTACCAGCGGCAACAGGCCAAGCGAACAATTGTTCCTCAGACTCGGTTTTTCACACAGGGCGAAGAATGCTGCTCCAAACCCAACTTTTCACGGGTGGTTGCACTAATTAATACAGTGTCTGCGGCTCCCGGGGGTTTAATATTGAGGCCTACGGGGCGGAAGGGGTTTAGAAGTCCGGCTCCTGTCGATGAAGTCGCCCTCGGATTTCTTTCTTTCACGCTGTGTGACCCTGTCTGTGGAGTCAGCACAGACAGAGACTGTTCCCTGGCCCCGCACGCCCGGAACCCCCAGTGCCTCCAACTTGAGGTTTAAGGCTTGGGAAGTGGGGGACAGGCTTGGGGTGCAGGGAGCTGGGGGCTTGGGGGAAGGATGCCCCTCTGGCAGCCTGGAGGGGAAGAAGCAGGAGGGGCTGGAGTCAGGCCCTTGGGGGCAAATGCCAGCTCTCTGGGGCACTGGGCTCCGGGCACGGAATTGCCCGGACAGGGAGGGCCTGGCAGGGGGGCTGGGAAAGGGACCCAGGAACCCAGGCCAGCTTTCCCTCCCGTTTCCACACTCTTGTCTCCCACTCCCCCTGCCCACCTCCAGTCCCAACCCGCGGCCGTTCCCAGTTCCCATCCTCCTCCTTCTCCACGTCTGTCCCGTTTTAAGTGTTTGTACACTGTTCCTCTTCTGCCTTCTGACTGTCTAGACGAGTCCTTTCCGAGCCCGCGCTCTTCATTTCTTTTCCCCGCTTTTCTTCTCTTGTTTTCCTGCCGCTTCCCGCTTCCTTCGCGTCTCTTAGTCTGGGTCGGTTTTCTGTGTCTTCTCGTTCCCACTGTCACCTCCTCCCCCGCCCCCTCCTCCGCCTCTGTCTCTGTCTCCTTTCTTTCTTCCCGGTTCCAGCGATTTCGTGCCGGATTCCAGAGCCCAGCCTTGCCCGCTCCTCCCGGCGCTGCGCTGCGCTCCGGCGCGGGGGCCCCTGGCCACCCCTGTCCCCCGGCGCCCGCCTCCCCGCCGCACCTGGCGGGCCAGCCCGGGACCCCGGGCAGGAGGAGGCAGCCCCCGGGGTCTCCCCGGAGCCGGGGCGCCGCGGCGGGAAGGGCCACGCCGGGCCGGTAAGGGCCGAGTCCCCGCGCCGCCCGGCCCGGCCCCGCCCGCCGCCGGCAGCCCGTTTGAAGTCGCGGGCCCGGCAGGAATGCGGCCGGGTTATCAATCACGCAGCTGGATCCCCAAGGTCTCGGCCTAATCACATTTAATTGCTCGTGGAGGCCCGCTCCCGCCCCGGGCCGGCCGCCGCGCCAATTACTCCCCGAGCGGCCGCCACCGAGCGCCGCCACCCGCCCGCCGGCCCCCGCCGCCCCGGCGCCCGCCCCCGCCCGCCGTTAGCTCACACCCGGTCCCCGGGAGCCAGCCCGGCCCCCGCCACCCCGTCCCCCGCCGTTAGCTCACACCCGGTCCCCGGGAGCCAGCTCGGCCCCCGCCACCCCGTCCCCCGCCGTTAGCTCACACCCGGTCCCCGGGAGCCAGCCCGGCCCCCCGCCCGCCGTTAGCTCACACCCCGTGCCCGGGGACCAGCCCGGCGGGTAATCACAGCCCCGTTCACGGGCGCTTCCCGGGCCGGCTCTGCCCCGCGATCTGCACCTCCCGGCGCCCGGAGCCTCCCCCGGCGCAGACCGGCCCGCTCCCTCTGCGCCCCGGAGCCGCCGACCGGTCCCGGCGAGAGCGTCCGCGGGGCGAAGGCAGGCGGCGCCCCGCCGGCCCGGGACCCTCCCCGCCGGCCCGGGACCTGGGGACCAGGGACCCGCCCCGCCGGCCCGGGACCCTCCCCGCCGGCCCGGGACCCCCTCCGCCGGCCCGGGACCTGGGGACCAGGGACCCTCCCCGCCGGCCAGGGACCCGGGGATCCGGCGGCGGCGCAGGCGGAGGGCGCGCGCACAGGACAACGGCGCCTCCCAGAGGCGGGCGCGCACCTGGCGCACCTCCCCAGGTACAGCCCTGGCGGCGGCTCCCCGGCGCCCAGCCTGGGGGTGTCCC